CAGTTCCTTCTGACTTCTTCAAAGTCTCCTCTGGAAAAAGTAAAGGGAAGTCTGATCTAGGGGGAACAAGAGTAGTGGTCTCAGATGTTTGCTTTTCAAAAAGTGGGACCGGTCCTTCTTTGAGAGGGACCGACACTAGATCACTAGGTTCTGACAGTCTTGGTGTATTATCTTTCTGCACTTTCTCTGTCAAYTCCTTTCCACTCCTAARAGTTACTACTTTCACATGCTCCTTTCCTAGATCTCTAGGGATTTCTGTATTACTGGGCAAGGTTCCTTGGGCTCGACTATTCTGGTTTTGTGCAAGTTGACTAACTTGAGTCTCTAAATTCCTGRTGGCAGCACTTTGTTGATTAATCAAGGCTTGATTTTGGGCCTGAGCCTGTGCTAAAAGCCCTTTAATCATAGCTTCCAAAGAAGATGATGATTCTGCCTGTGGAGGAGGTTTGTTCTGAATATGTAGCTGAGAATTTTGAAAACTTTGTTGGTGGGTCTGAGAGTTGGAATTGTTTACATGATGCTGTGGTTGGAAATTAGAAGTTCCTTGTTGCTTATGGACCGGTGGATTAAGGCTGGGACTGGTCCAAGAGAAGTTCGGGTGTTGTCTCCAACTGGCATTATATGTGTTAGAATAGGGATTAGATCTGTTTTGAACATAATTTACTGATACAGAATTGTGTGAACAATGTTCATATGAATGATCCCCTCCACAGCATACACATTGCACAGATAAGACTGATGGAACTGATGTGTTAGCAGCTTGCTGTATTCCCTGACCGGTAGTTAAATTTTTCAATAAATTGGTCATGGAGGTAAGCTGAGCTGTTAATGCAGTGTATGCATCCACTTCATGTATTCCAGTAGTCTTTTTCTGTGTCTGGGCAYGTGGGTCAGCCCAATGCCCATTGTTTGCTGAAATCTTTTCTAGGATCTCATATCCCTCATTATAGGTACTGGCTGTAAAGGCTCTGCCTGCAGTCGCGTCGAGCATTTGTTTTGCCATGGGACTTAACCCATTATAAAACGTCTCGAGTTGAATGCAGTACGGAATGCCATGATGTGGGCATTTCCT